ACACCCCGCTTACCGACTCCATAAAGGGGAAAGATACCGCAATTCAACCAGTTGAATTAAATGACATTTGATCCCTTTGTGAATGAATCCAAAAGTTATGAATAGCATTTCAGCACTCTTACTTTAATCATTTCACATGTGGTTTATGAAAATGGAAGACAAAAATGCAGTACTTTGCAAAATATGTAAAATGGAAAGACCTAACTCCGTTTCACCACAACATTAGCAAAACACAAGCCCAAGCCTGGTCCGCCAACAAAAATGTATCATTATTTTTGTGGTCACTGTCACTCTCCTTAACGCTGCTCCAAAAATATTCAGTACCCTTGTCACACCAGAAATAATATATGCTTCTAGAAATGGATTTAGGTACCAAAATCCCACGCAATCATTTCAATAAACGATTTTAAGACTAGTAGTCAAAACCGTACCTTAAGATACTGGATGTCGTCACCGAAGCACCACGCTAGTTGTTTTGGGATTAATCTTTTTCGCAAAATGATCATCCTATAAAATTAAGTAGTTCCAAAGTTTATCATCCTTAGGTAAGTACGTGTCGTTGGATTCACCTGAGGTCAAACAAAATTAGCACCAGCACTTCATCGAGCCATCTTACATTCTACCCGTTTTGGGTGAGTAGTTTTAATGCATTACGGCAACTTGATGCACGGATATTAGGTAAGTTCCTTGCTGCCTGTAGGAGTTAATTGATTTGGCGCCTTTTGTTGCTACATTTATAGCACGATGGCGCCCTGATAGCACCAGGGGAATAAAAACACTGCATTGTTTCATTAGTGTTCGACATAGGCCAATGAGCAAGTCGCGCGCTAATAAGCACTTTATAAAAGAACGCTTCAACATGTGATCAGGATGTCAGATAAAAATTAATTTGTAGTTTTGGGCATTAAACTTGAGAAAAAGTGTAGCATGAACCCTCTCTTTCTAATTCACTAACTAATGGCATGTGAGTCCTTGTCAAATTTACTTGAGAACACATTCTAAATTAAAACTAAATTAGTAGTTTGAATGATTTTGTCATGTAGGAGTCACCAGTGTGCATCCATTCATCACGACCTACCGCGTTTTGATTCATCAGATTAGAATTACCAGATAATTTGGTAGGAGCTTTACAAAGTGGCAATGAGTCATATTGCCTCTATTTTACTTAATCGCATTACAATACTTTTGTGAGACTTTTTCAAAACTTTTAATTTTGTTTAAAATACAATGAAAACGATTCTAGAACTTGGTCAAAAATTGACATTATTTCGTTAAAGATACATCGTTAAAATGGAAAATGGATAAATTTCCTAAAATTACAGTTTAAATGTCTTCTCAAACACATCGTCTGATATCGCTGCAACAATGAACTTTTCTTTAAAGAAATGTGAGGGTCGTATCAAAAGGGACTTAATATGCTGAGTTGAGGAAAGTTTGACTCAGTAAAACCGTATGAATACCAGATTTATGAAACCTCTAAGGATTTATCGTCGTTTGAAATGGCTTGTAAAGTTGTAGTAAGGACAAAGCAAAAGCAGTTATCACTTGACTCCAAAAAAGTGTTTAGTTTATGCGTTTAAATAGTTAAACAATTTTTTTCCTTAATTCTTTAAAAATGCCACTAAAACTTGCTGAATAAATCCTAACTTATGATGGAACGTGTGTTTTTGTTTTTTTTATTGAAAGTAATCCCTTTCGTTTACAGAAAGCAATTTTTTGTCACGTTCATTAGCATTAGAATCACCAAGCTAATGCAGCCAACATTTACCTAGCTTTAACTATGGAGACATGAAGGCATCAAAGCAGATGACCAAGAAATACTTATTTAGAACCAAGTAATCGCCAATCGTTTAATCAACTGACTGTCTTCATGCATTTTATGGCTGTGTACTCGAGAAGTTTGCCATCGTGATAAAATCTAACTTTGTTTTAAACAAAAGCCTGTAAGTTATCTCTGTGGACATTTGAAGTCTGTAAACGAAGTCCTGTTGTGTTGACAGCTTACAAAATCATTAATTTTCCAAAAGTGAAACACTGAACATGACATTACTCTTCATATAACCAGCACATTCAAAAAAAAAAACAAAACTTTCATTTTGTTTCAAAAAAAATTAGTGAGTTCATAAAACTCTAGACCTTCCTAAAATTAAGCGGATGGCAAAAGGCCATTACTTACCCTGCAGTCTAAAGAAGGCATTTCCAATTGATTAAGTGAGTTGACATTATTCCAGGCAAAACATAGTTTATAATTTTACATTTGTTAGTGATAGTCTTCAAGCAGATGCAAATCTTGGTGTGGTTCACTTATGCTTGACTGAGAAAAATTGAAAAAAAAAGTATTTGAAGTATAGCATCAGATTGTATTTACAGGTTGATTGTAAGTTACACATAATTTGATATCCACTCATACTTGACTCCATTATAAAATATAAGCTCTTAGTATTATTCACCCTAATGTAATGGACCTGAGTAATTTGAAAAAAGAACTGTAGTAATGTCGATCCATGTTTAAAAAGTCGTCTGTTCAATCCTATTTAAATAAACTAATGAAAATATTTTACAAACGTATTTTACAGTTTTTTTTGGTGATCTGATTTCACGTGACACAACACCATTGAATATCTTTCGCCTTTTTCAACGTTAGCTAGCAGTTTGTCTGATGTATTTAAGAACAAGCAATTTACGTTAAAAAAGGCAAATATTTTGCCTTGTACCATTAAATGCCAACCAATAATGATTTGATTGATCTAAGTATGCTTTTAGAGTTTTTAGTGTACTCTTGTCGCTCTCTGAATGCTAGGTGAAGGGTTTAATTTGTAGTGCTGCTGAAATTTGAGTAAAGTCAATGCGCAAAAGTAGAAAAAAGGAATAGTAGAGAAAGTCAAGCTAAATTTTCAAAAGTAAACGGAGGTGTTCGTTTTTAGTATTGTTATCAGAGATTTTTATAAAAAAGGAAGTATTTTGCTAAAATCTGAAAGTAAGTTATTTTTTTGCATTTTTTAAATGTAGGCGTTTCGACAAAAAATTATCTTAGAGCTTTGCCATCCAATAATACCCACTTAAACATGAATCGCATTTCATAATATATCATTAAATACTGACAAGAAAACTGCGAAGTGTAAGAGCATGCACACACTCTTCTAGTAAATGCACGATGTTTTCATTATGGTCGTTAAATTCCTTTGAGGAATTTGAGGATAGTGAACTGGGGAAATCCTACCGAATGCCTTGGCCCACTAAAGTAAGGAAGGTTTCAGAGATAGTAAAAATTATTCGTTTATTTGCTGGATTTATGGGACTTAAAAGTTTTTTATGTTCAAAACAATGAGTTGCAGACTTGCTGACAAAAGATAAATTATAAGTTAATCAGCGTGACCATTAATTTGTGCGTGGGTATTTGAGTTCAAGTCATTTGATCCTAGTTGAGTACAACCCCGCTGTGATTGCCCCATTTAAATAAAAACGTTTTTAATATAGGCTATTGGTTATGAAAAAATTAGACGAAAATATTGTGGCAATATTAGTCACTATATACTGTTTAATACGATTAAACACAAAGCCATTAAATAAGTGAGTGAATACAGTCCCTGTAACAAGCAAATCAGGGGAGTAGTCTGAGACAGATGCAATCAAGGTGCATTCACATAAATGCAATGTTTAAGATTAATGATGTTTCGTGGAGACACCTTAAACCGTCAAACAAAATTGTCATAATTTATCATTGGTCCCTTAGCTGGTTCCAATGAATCATTCTCTTTATGCATTATCATTCATTAATTTAGGATCTCAAAGCATTTCTTTACAAAAGCAAGAAAAAAGCAAACCTAAATTTTGAGGAAGTCATAATGTTTTGACGATTTCAGCGACTTAAGAAGAGCAACAAAGGATAATATTTAAAACAAATTATTATTAAGTTTATTTTGCCTTTCCTTTTCCGTTAAGTTACATTATAAAATAAATGCAACACTAACCCATTTTATGGGGCATTCGAGGGGTAAATTTTAATGGTATATACCTAAATCAGGTTTTAAGGATGCGCAAATGTTTTCTACCCTAAATTAATAAGGGTGACATTGGCGAATTTATTAGATTAGACACTTGTCGTTCACCTAAACCAATGCCCTGGTTATTTAACGGAATGATTCTCTTACGCATTATATCAAAACCAAACCACTGCCTCTTCACTACGTCAGGCCACAAGAAGAGAGGGCAGAAACAAAGCATTGTTCTTTCATAATCGTAGCACACAATAAATGTATTTAAAAATGCATAAACAATCAACTAGAACTTGCATATTTTTTGCTTGTCTACGGTTAAAACATTTGACTTGGAAGATCACAATGTTGCAATTAGTCGTAAATTAATAATAAATCCAAGCATAAAGTGTGCAACAACGAAAAAATAAGGCGTTTTTCTTTTGTTTTTCTCGATTGGATCAAGTGATATGACTTATTTAAGTGCCATATGATGTCAATGCTTTTAACAAAATGAATAGTAATATTTTTTTAATTTTCCTGACACAATGCATTTACGTTACCTAATAAGTTAAAATAAATGAAACAAGAAAATCGATTTTTGTAGTGTTCAATTGGATTGAAGGGTGCCAGCGCGGCTTTTGTTCTCTGAGACTCTGTCGTAGTTGGTCATCTGGGGTTTCGGTTTCTGTGAGTGTGGTTCCGCACATTTTTCAAGCCCTTTTAGACAATACGGGATAGTAGAGCAGCACAGAAGTGTATACATTCGATAAGTGTGGTGTCAGTAAGCGCTGAATCGTTGTTTGTGTTAAATCGCCATCTTAAATTTGTGGGCGAAAGTTCCTCATATTGTAAATCAAATCTTGTATTATTGCCTATAAAGACACCGTGCAGATTAATATATTTTATATAAAATGAGTTCAGCTTAAGACCCATATGTCTGTAGCATCCATTGTCTTTTTTCAATACGTGAATACATAACAAGTATTAAACTATTATTTTTGTCTAGCTGCAGACCCGCTTAGAATGTCGACGCCCGCCCGATGCCGACTTTTGCGGGATTTTAAACGCTTGCTAAAGGACTCACCAGCAGGCATTTGTGGATCACCCACTGATAATGTTATGGTTTGGAATGCAATTATTTTTGGACCAGAAGAAACTGCCTTCGAGGATGGAACCTTCAAACTAAAACTTGAATTCACAGAAGAGTACCCTAACAAAGCGCCACGTGTAGTCTTTCTTTCAAAAATGTTCCACCCTAATGTTTACGCTGACGGAAGTATTTGCCTTGATATTCTTTCCAATGCGTGGAGCCCCACCTACGACGTTCTTGCCATTCTGACCTCTATTCAGTCCCTGCTTGATGAGCCGAACCCTAATTCACCAGCCAACAGCGTCGCCGCACAGCTGTATATGGAAAATCGACGTGAATATGAGAAGCGTGTGCGTGCTTGTGTTGAAGACAGCTGGAACGACAAGGATACCTAATTTTCAACCTTTTTCTTTTATTGTGGTTCCTTTTCCCATGTAAATACCTCTAATCAGACATCTCATTTTTGCCTCCATACCCGAAAGGGAGAGAAACATCTGAATGTTATATTCTTTCTGTGCAAAAGTCTACCACTGTAAACGTTTATTTATTTTCAAGAAGCGGAAAATTATTAAGCCATCGTCTTTATAATTGGGAGCAAGTGAAATGCAGTACTCGTTTAGAATTCTCCTTCTGCAATCCCCGCTGAATAGGCATGAGTTGCTCGACTTACCCTGCTTTGGTCTGCATTATAGTTATTTTGTACCCTTGGTGTTCTGGCTTGTTTGTACGTTGCGTGGGTTTTCATAGACCTTGCTTACTTCAATCAGCAATGTCGTTTGAATCAAGCAAACTTCTCCTGGTGGGTTTTAAGTAACTCCTTATTAACTACTAGGCTTGATAGGTTCTTGCTCCATCCATTTGCATTGTTCATTGTTGTTGCCTTGTGGTGCTCGGATATTCAAGTGAAACTTAGTACTAATTTCGAGCAGGGCTTCGTGTATGCCTTCCACTTTGGGATTAGTTTACTTTGATGACGTCGGAAGCAACTGCCATTTTTGCGATATGTGAATGAGTAGATTCTTTTGGGAGCCGTTGCTTCTCATACACGTTAACATGCAAGCTCCTTAAGTGGCTTGCGTATCACAACGGAGTTATTGGCATCACAAAGCCTTTGACAATTTTGAAGATTCAGAAGGGTGATGGTGAGGTGCAGTTTTTGTTAATACACGTTGAAGCCTCTAGCATGCTCCTGTTGGTTTTGTTACTGATTTTAGTCGCCATTAGATGTCTCTGGTTAAGGGATTGATCTAACACTTAGTATTTACTTCTTCCGCATGCGAAATGTTATACGACGATGTGATCTACAGGTATGGTTGTTACTGTACGTTTAGCTTTAAGTGCATTGCCTCGTAAGCGGTGGATGGAATTTATTCGTTTCATTGAGGCTAAAATAACTTGTGCTGGTTCGTATTAGTGCCTCTTGTTCCTGATAGCATATCCGTCCTGTAAGTTGTCTCGATTTATTGCTTCGGAAAGTGATTGGCGCCACCACGTAGCATCACATCTAACTAATCATGTTTACTACACGAAGTGCCCTTTAATGCACTAGACTGCATTTTAGTCGTTTAGGCAGCGTATTTGTGTGTCCATTTGGTTTTGGTTAAAAATTATGTTGATCGCTATTTGAAGTGCTGCGTAAGTTTAGCCGGTCAAAACCTTTATGCTTGCAGAGCCCTGTTAATGCCTGTGTTGTAAGTAATTGACAATAATGATTCAGGTTTTGGCTCTCGGGATCCAACACACAAATTCGTCTGCAAAATGCGCTTAATTTCACTTGCCTGGCTTCACATGGGTTGTGTTTATCATCGTTTTTTTGTCTGATTGCATTTGGTGTGCTTTCATACCACTTTACGATAATTAAGTAAGGCTAACGTCTACAATCAGCCATTGCCTTGGAGACGAAAATGTTTATTGGTTAAGCATCTAGGTTTAATTTCTGTTATAATTGACCGCTACCTTAATTGATACAACCTTTGATAGAACTTGTAGCATTTTAAGTATGTTTCCCGTATTAGTAAGGCACCGTAACTATACCTTTTATTTTGCTCAACAAATGTATTCTTGATTCAAGTCTGACTTCGCTCACGTCACGCCACACAACTCATGTTCGGTGCTTCTTATCATCGATCTACGCCAGCGACCTTCAATGCCCTACGTCTTACTAAAGGCTTAGTTTGTCGATACTTTGCATCTACGTCATCTCTCTCGACATCCGTGCCAAATGTCAATCGCGTCTACTGGCTCTCCTCTGGGAATATCTACCGAAATCTCGCCTTTGAGACCACACTTTTTAACAATAAGCTGCGCTACACCATCGAGCCATCATCCAAAACAAGGCCTGCCGATGTCGTTATGTGGTGCTCGGATCCCTGTGTCGTGATCGGTCGCAACCAAATCGCTTGGCTCGAAACTAGCCCTCACGAGGTGGAAGGTCGCGGGTGGCTGCTGGCTAGGCGAATGTCCGGCGGTGGTGCTGTCTTTCATGATACAGGAAACCTAAATGTCAGCTTTTTGGAATCCCGGAGCACTTTAAAAAGACAAGAATGTATGCAGTTTCTTCAGCATACCCTGATGTCTAAGTGGCCGGATCTGAATGTGTTTGTTGGTCCCCGCCATGACCTTTGGCTTCTTCCCAGCGGTGTCTCGGTTGAAGAGGGAACTAAAGAGGTTCGTTTTGTCGTCTCTATAAGCACGTTTTAGCATTCCACCTCAATTTGTTCCCTTATATTTGCTTTAAGTGCAAGCTCCAGGCCAACTCACGGTTACGTTTTTAGGAGTGCGAATTTACTAAAACACTGTCAAAATGAACACGGAAGTCTGACGAAATGTGTTACTTAGTAAATATATATCGCAGTGTATAAAAAGCAACGTGAAGTTGATGCATTTTTGCAATGATGGTATCCTTTGCAATCGCGGCACCTTCACTCATTGGAGCCACTTTTCATAATTTTCAGACAAGCATCCTGGTCAGTCTTGAATACTTCCTAAAAAAAGGAAGCTCGTTTCAGTCAAAACCATGCTCTTCCTCTTGTTTACAAATTACAAAAAGGCCACCACTTCCGTAATATCTTTATATTAAGATGGTCGCTTTGTTGCCATGATCCCCGATATTTTATAAATTCCTTTATATAGTTCCATGGCTTGCCTTTTCTTCTAAGACAAGCTGAATAACACCAGATTCATCACGTCGGGGTCACCAATTGTTTTGGGCCCCAGCATGTGGTCCTAAACCACGCCGAGGCCACGGAATTAACCCTGGTCCGATTACGTTTCCCTGATACCCGCGATGAAGAAAAAGACCGGAGTAGACGTGGGCACAGCCGTTTACTTCAGAGCTCAAGCACGTTGGTGTCGTTGTGTCATGGGTGGCATTTGCGTGTGTGCATTTATGCCTCAGATGTGTGAGACAAAGATGAGCTAACATCGAGACCTAGGTGTGTGGATAATCAAGGATAGGTATTCGTGTAAATGAGGGAGAGTTGAGGATCCGCGTGGCCTGCGAAAATGGGAACCCTGCATCGGAGACTGGAGTGATCGGATTGGCGAGTGTGAATCAACGTGATTCACAACAAGTTTATTTCGGTTCAGGTCTGCGGTTTCAATTGCAGGTACCAGAGGGAGGTTTAAAATTCTCCGGTGCTGCATCCCGCTTTTCCTCGGTGGCAGCTCTGCATCACTGCACTCTCCTCTTCAATGCTGATTTAACCACCATGTCAAGCGTCTTGCAGCCGGCTGTAGTGAGTTATCACCTGTTCTTGATTCTCGCCTCTCTTCACTCAATATTGTAGTTGATAAACGTATGTTCGGCAATTTTAGTTCAAATTTTTTTGCGTCATCGCCTATTTTATGGTGCCAAATTAGTGGGAAAATTTTTCATAATGCTGATGCAATAGATATTTTTTATGTTTACACGTAAAACAGTAATTTGACTCTGGTTGTTGCCGACTAGAACACATATTTTATTTGCTTAGTAGCTGCGGTGGAATGTCCTAGGGGACCCTACCGTGATGTACCCGACTTGACAAGCGCAATCACACCTACCGTTGAATCCAATTTTGTTAGCAAGCTAATCTTGATCATTCTAAAGGTATTGCATTTAGCCTGATAAATAAATTGGGTGAAAATGGATCCACATTTAACCATTTTGCGTTATTTTATCGAGTATTTAGTCAAGCTATTGGTTTGCATCCGCGATCTTGCTAATTTTGGATAACCTCCACCAGCAGTTTCAACTGTTTATGATTGAGTATGGCGTTTGCAAAGCCAACTCATGTCAGGATCGCCAAAGCTTTTTAAGTCAGCTCAGTATTTGTCGTAATTGTCTTAATGTACTCCTCTTTGATTAAATTTTTTTCCATTCCTAGCCCGAAATTGAAACAATGGCTTCGCGCAGTGTCCCCAGTCCAGTAACAAACCTTAGAGTTCCCGGAAATGAACTGAGAACCACGCTTCTCCAAGCCTGCAGCAAACGACTAGGGGCAAGTGCTAGAGTACGTCATCAAGCCACTCATATACTCACAACCATGTCGTTTTTGTCTGCATTGGGATTCTACCAGACGCGGAAGTGATGTTTGGTTCGCCCGTTTCTATTAGCCGGTTCCCTGAGTCTTATGAGAACGAGTTTGTGCACACTACATGGTTAATCAAGATGCTTTTGCTTCCGTTATCCCTAGCTTTTGTCAGCGGCCACTTGCAAGATAATTTTTTTGAGAAAGCCATTTGCATTTCGAAAATTGGGTTTGCGGCAGGCTCGGTTGCTACACAGGCTCAGTTCGGGCTCATCCTCCATGCACGACAGCCATGCAAACATTGGTGCAAAACGTGCGTGTTTGTGGACGATTCCCTCTCAACTTGTAGTCGTGTACCGTGTCCATGCATGGACTTAGTCGTCGTGGTTGTGCCGGGAGCTCTCTGAATCGGACGCGAACCCCTGAGGTATTGGCTAACAGGCAGCACCCTAAAATAAGATTCAAACCTTCGCCATGACTCAAGCGGTGCTATGGTGATCGACTGAAAATTCATTAGAAGCATTCTTTACATCTAAGACTTTACTGGGGGGATTTGTAATTTATGACAGACCTTCAAAAGCGTTGGCAATGTTACCTTTGGCTGAATTCCAAATAGCTCATCGGTCAAAAAACTGTGTTCCTTATCGTTTGAAGGATGGCGAGGCCGAAGTGGTTACCGTTAATGCTGGAGAAGAAGGCAACTGGATAAGCAGGAAAGATTTCGAGGCCAATCTAGCCACCTTCCAATCTTGGGACTGGATTTACGGTGGTTCACCAAAGTTTTCCATCCCCATGGAGACTGAAGATGGGACGGTACTTCGTTTGAATTGCGAAAAGGGTCGCGTCGTCAGCCTAGTTCGAGACGGGGGCGCCACTTCACCAATCCCCCTTCTTCAGCGAATATCTTCAGCATTATCTCGCAAGCCTTCCTCTGACGCCTGGTTGGAAAAGCTTAATGAAGCCCTCGCTGGAAAACCGCTCTGCTTCGAGGCCCTGCACAACGCCTTGTTGGATTTTGAGGTGTCGGTCAGTAGTGCCACTGGTGGTGATGACCCAGAGGATCCATTTGGCCCAAAGGCGCAGATAATCGATCGATTGCGTGCTATGGCAACCTGTTTCTGACATTCTCTGCTTATTATTGTAAATAATTTGGCTCAATATTTTCACTTTTGCCTAAAAGGTCTATTTGAGTATTTCGAGTTTATTTTCCTATGACCTCGGAACCAAAGAGCTGGCTAAGGCACTCTGTATAATTCGATAAATACGTGCTATTTAGTCAATGCCTAATTTTCCTGTGACGTCAATGCTACTAGTAATTTGTAAGTAGCGCTGGTGCATTTTTTTGCATTTGTGATGCTCATAAGCCATTCCGCGGTAAGTTTGCCTCTTTATGCTGTTGAATGTCTGCGTATACAAATTTTCTTTTGATGGACAAAATAGTGTAAAAGTCAGACTTGGATGCCTTCTAAAATAAATAGCATTACCGTGAATTCACTACCGAAATTCGTAGGTGGCCATAATTGCCGTAATTGAACTCTTGCTTACTGCGCCACTGTCAGTATTTATTTGGTTGTATAGTAAATACGAAAGCCAAGCTATGTAAAATCCTTAAAATACACTACTGGCCGATAGATTTGTATATTGGCTTCTCAAACAACATAAAGAATGTGGAACTCCGAGGGGGGAAATTGTAACATCTTGATTCACAGCACGTTATTTGTAGTCAAATCTGAGAGATTAAGTAAATCAGTAAACAAAAAACGGAACGGACGGACAAAGTGGAGTGGTCACTGAGCAAGTACTTGGTGTGTGTGTGTTGTATAAAAAGCGACGGGGGTGGGGGCGAGGAGTTGAGGGACGTGGTGTTGGCACGTGCGTCCATGTTGAGGAGGAATTGGGCCCGTTGAAATGCAAGGCTGGTTGGCGGTGGAGGTGGGGCGTTAGTGGCAGTCCAAAAAGGCCAAAAGGTGCGCCTCATAGCTGTTAGCTGGTTGGATCTGACGTCTTGTAGCTGACGATGGCGGTCTGTAATTTGTACCAATAAGAAAAATATTCAAGCATAACTTAGAATATCGAGGAAAGTAGTTTTTGCGTGTTTCTTTGAGGCAAAGTTTACAAAATCCTACGCTTTGTGTCGGGAAATATGACGAAGTAATACCGGCGCATTTTGTGGTAGCGAATGCCCTTACTCAGTGGAACGCGTACATAGTGAACGAACCTGGTTGTCAGCGACATTGGCTAAGCAGTAGTCGGAACAACTCCATCACTCATACCCCACCGTACTGCGTTGTTTACTTCAAGCAATCCGATAAAACAGGATACTGTTCGTACGACCCAGCAGGAGAGGATATTGATAAGCAGAAACATCAAGATGCGACATTACATACTGACTCCTTGAAGTTTGCGATCAACTGACCATTTCAGTAATAAATAGGCTCCTCAGCTGACTCCAGCACATTTTAGTGTTCCTAGACGTAAATATAGTTATTTTATGGAACCAAGCATACCTCCTGACCCCAAGTTAGTATCTCTTATGTTCTTGCCATTTATTTTCTGAATACTTCATTTGTGAAGATGTGCTTTAAAAACCTCGAAAGGTTTTTCATGCGCGATTGACTTTGGCAGACAATCTAACAATCCAGCACAGGAGACAAAAGCTCCAAATTAGGGCGGCCAGTAAGTTACGCACTAATTGGTTGTAGCGTGTCTGCCTACCTCACCGCACGCTCGGGCGACTTGTAAGATCTCGGGCGGCCCGGGTCTTCTGACTGAGGGATGTGGCGAGAAAGACTGCTTGATCGATTCAATCGGTCGTCATGGACGCCATTATGAGGATGGTGTTTGTTTGTAGCGGAAAGATGCGGCCGAGCAGGGATTCGACTGAAGCCTGCACCTGAAGACTGCAGGTAAAATGTCAGGATGAAGTCCTGTGGAATGCAAGTGGGTGTTATGATTGCGATGCGACAGCGTTTGGGTGCGTGGGTGTTCACTGTCAGAAGGGGGAAATGTGCAAAGATAATTGATACAATAATTGTGAATCGCAGCCAACTTTGTGCCAGTATTTCTAGGAATAATATTGGACTTGTTAACCCCCAAAGGTACTTGTGGGGAAAGTCGCTTTACCCTTAAGATTTGAGCTATAAAACAGGCATAATGGTGAAGTGCTTCTGTACTGCTCACTTATTAACGGTTGTACTAGCAGTGCATGGTTAGGCTTCATCCAAAGACATTTACTGGTCTACAATTGGCGAATACACATCACAATAAGCCAGGTAGACATTAGAGCGTGGGGCGCCGAAGATGAATTCCCTAATATTTCCTGTAAAAGGTGATATTAACCTCTACAACTACCGGATCTGCTGATAGAATATGCTAGATCCCCCCAATCCAGAGTAAATGCACCACGGATCCGAGGATTATTGACTATTCCTTCCCTTACAGGCAAAAGGTTCCCATCCCCGGCTGATAATGTGTTATAACAACATTGAGTTATGATTCAAATCTTAGTTTGCAAGTGTCAAAAACGAAGTTGTGAAAGCAGCAAGCTAGACATCGAGACAACGAAGCAGAAATTCAACAAAAGTAGTGAGCCCGTTATTACCTGCACGTTAGAAATACTAGGATCGGCGGTCGTGGCATAAAAGTAAGAGGGTAAAATTTTTAGTGGTTTTGTGTAATGTTTGAAGTGCAATCTTTCGAGAGACCTCCATGCCTGGAAAGCACATTACAAGAGGACTTATTTTGTCATCCCCTTAAATGATCACCAGTACTAGGAGAAAAACATCAAATAAAACCTAAAAACAATGATCGAATGGATTCTGTTGGGAGTGTCAACATTACCCCAAAATGAGGCCTGCTTTACTACCCAATTTAGGACTATCGAACAATGGTTAGGTAGAACTTGGAGTCATGAGGACGTGATGTTCACTGCCATTTCGCCTCATTCGCCTGTCAGAAATACTGGTGGACACTTCCTAACAGTGGTTAAATTAGTTTTTAGGCAGTTTTTCCCATTACAGAAGCAGCTGTTTGTCGATGTCACTTGTGACACGACTGCGAGACTGTGGAGAATAAATGAAAGGCAGGAGTGAGTTCAAAGTTTGATTTGACCCAAATACAAACATAGACAAACCTTAATCGACATGTACTGGCACCTTAAGAAACTAAACTGGACTCTTTGCTGGTTTACAAGAAGCGGTTGAAGTAGACCATTTGTGTGAGAATAAATTGGCTGACAACAAAATCACCCATTTTGTGGTGTGGACTAATTCGTGGGTTGTAATAACTTGGGAAACAGAGGGACACACCATTCGGTGGATGATGTTGCTCTTGACGCGGGAGCGGGATTGCGTAGTTGTTGGATTTTCGGGTAAGTGGTGCGCGGAACTGGAGGAGAAGTTGGACTGGCTGGTAAAAGTTGAATTCGAGTGCTTCCCATGGCCACATCCTACGTCGTTGGAGTAAACAAGAGGTGGGGATCGGGACCGCACAATAGCATGTGGCGACGCCGATTTCATTTGCAGTTTGGTTCGACCTTGGTGGGGGTGCAACTTTGTTTGGGGCATCATAAAACGGTCCTGAAGGAATTGGGAATTAAATTCATATGACCTTTTATAGCCAAAGTGCCACTGAGAGTTTAAATATTGTCGTAAATCAAGTAAATGTCCTATAGACAGTATTCGAAATAAGCTAGTACACAGTTTTTGATTCAATTGACATCTTAAAGCTTTTAATGCGACATTTACATATGCGAATGACTACCAACGATAGATCTGTATACAATGTATTACACACAATCGAATCTTATTTACGATTTCGTAAATTCCGAAAAAGTGCTCGCAAATAATGAGCAGTCTCAAGTGCCTAAGGAAGCAACATCTTCACCTTTTAGTACTGTGGGAACTGAATGACATCGATTAGCACGCTATAGAATTCGCATTAATGTCAGATCTGCATTTGTTCGCTTTCAGCATCCAAGGATACACCGATGCTGATGGGCTCTCGAGACGCGCGCGATTTGTAGCATCCTGCAACCGTGTGCCTGCATATGCCTTTTAGAGGTGTGGCCGCACTGCAGGTGTCCACACCACGGTGCAGTTGGCATTTGAACACTTTAGCGCCTGATTACAGACACATTTATGGGAGGTGAGCCACTATGACTGATCTTTCACAATTATCAGGGATTTTTAATCGGTGTGGTCATTTATATTGTTGAAGCTGGAGTGAGAATTAGACCCAATATGATGACCATATTTGGATTATGCTTATAAATTAAAATTAGGAGGATGAACACAGATATTGCGTATTCTATTCAATATACATTAGTGGAACTGGTTGGAAGCAATAGCTGAAAAGAGGACAAAGTCGTCGCACATGATTTTCGACCAACGCAGTTAAAGCCGCTTATTTAGTATTTAGTAAACGTTTTGTAGCAATGACGTTAACAATTACATTGTGCGATACGCTTGAGTTCGTTGTTCCTAAGCTTTCAGATATCCAGGAATTGCAAAATTTCGAACCTCCACACAGATGGGAATGCGCGTGAAAGGTGGCTTTATATATGGGAAACAGTTAGAAGCTATTGAGGTAATATTACTTAAATGGAAAGTGATTTAAATGTAAATGGATTAACCACCAGTAAAAACAATAAATATACAACTAACTTGAAATGCCCTGTTTCGTTACTAATCTAGTTATACCCGTTGAGTGAGACAAGTAAAAGTAGTTTTCTTCAGTTTATCTAAATTTATGAAGTATCATAATACGAGCTCATGCCAAGTTGTGGAAGATAGTTAAAAAGGAAAATGAATTGAACAAAATCTAACACACAAGTTAATACAATTAATCTCCGAAGCTGAATTTATGTGGTAAACATAAATTATGATCTCAGTAGAAAAGAACGCCAGTTATTGCTTAACGCGTTGGTGATTCTGCACTTCTCTGTTGCATTTAGAGGCGACAACGCCGTGGTGGCACGGGTACTCAATGCTTGCGATCCCACGTACATACCAAGTTCCGTGTGTTTCGTGATTTTCGGGTACGAAAATGAATTCGTTTTAAGGTTTTGAAGTACGTATGAATACCGCTTCATGTGATACGAGTAACTCGTGAATTCCCACGAGGGGTGAGAACCCTCCACATTGAAAAAAACGGACTCGAAAACATGATGGAATATCATTAAAAACCCTCTTAGTTTACTAATGCTTGCATACTAAACGTATTAATACTAGGAAAAAAAAGTTATTTGGTGTATTATTTTAAAATATACTTGGGTATATGACAGATCAGTGCAGGAAATAATTTGTATCGGTGCTTGCTTAACTGTCGCCCAATTTATCGAAAATTAAGCTTAAACATAACTAAAACTGTAGAAAAAAATAAGTTAAACTACTGAGCTCAATCCCCAATTTGTTGAAATAAGATTACACATAATAAGCTGATCCCCAATTGCAATCGCCGCTTCCTTTAAAATCAACAAATAATATTACGCTTGTAAATTGCAACAAAGCATGAGGTTTTGAGTTACACCAGTGGCAATACCAGTTAGAATAATGTTAGTTTGCATTTTAAAAAAAACATAGAAAGTGAAACCAATCATTTGGTAGACACTCTTATTAAATGAGACAAAAGTACGACACTAAAGCCTCATTTACGGATCAGTGAAACCGTTTGTTAAAGCCTAATGCAATCTCTTCAAATTGGAAATTGGATGGATGCACATATTGGGGCTTACATTAGCGATTTTTGACTCTAAATCTCTTTTTTCCATGGGAATCGCCTTCTGAGAATGTCTTCCAACCGAAAAGTTAGTTTTTCGAGTCGTGATCATTGGGGTAGTGGCGTAACCGTCTCGCATCGCAAGTGGAAAAGGATGTGTTATCCTGCTCGCATAAGAAGGTGTGAGCGCTGGATCTGAATTCGTGCAGCTTAGTTCCTCCATTTGAGGTGTTTCATTTGATCGGCCAATTCGCCTTTTTGGAAGGCAAGTTTCTACCTCCTCTAGGAACTTGGACGCTGGTTTGTTACAGGAGGGTTTCTGTTGAGGTAGTGAAGGAGGGTAATAGGGATCTCTTTCTTGTTCAGCTGCGTAAGCGTTGAATTCTACGGGAGATGGAGTTCTCTGAGGGTCGAAGGGTACGGGTCTGGCACCAGTGAGGCTGACAGAGTAGGAGAAATCACTATTTGGGTTAGTTGTCGGGGCGTTATAAATGACGTCTTTGTTGCTGAGTAACCCAACGGAACTTTTTCGGAAAGAGGAAGAATGAGAAAATGCCTCTTTTTTATTGTTACGATGATACCTGAAAGGTCAAAAAATGCGTATTACATTTAATGAACTTGTGAAGAAAATGAACCCGCGTTGTTGTGATTAATAAATATTAATTTTTTTCGAGGGTTCATAGCAGTAGGACTAGATAATCTTACAAGGTTCTGTTGCACTAATTTTTACGTTAATCGCAGTGCGTCCTCAAGCACAACTCATTGGATAGGGTATGTAATACTTGTTGCTATTCTCTGTATCAGCTAAACCTTTTTTATTAGTCTGACTCCCTCGTTGGGAGTCATCACGAAGTTGGCTACTCGAATGTAAAGCTCCGGGACTAACAAACCGCTTCTTTTTTAAACTTTTTGTAGTTGTATACTTACTATTAACTGATTTTCATCGTTTGAGACGGAGCACGGAAATCGAGACTGAGTAGACAAGTATTATTTGCAGGCTGTGAGTGGATATAAACTGTTTTTAAAAATCATGAAGGAGTGAGGGTGATCCAAAGTAAAATCGCCATATGTGATGTTAAACGTGAAGCGCATTTTACACATTTACAGCATAGCAAAGCCAACAGTGGATAACATCTTATAACCAATGAAAACAAGGTCATTTGCATATTTCAAAAAGATGCTGAAATGTTTAAATGGAGGATGCACGTAATCTGTCTTAACATATTTAGATAGTGGTACGACTGTTCATTTGTTTGTAAAAACGATAAAAAATATTACGACTGATATTGAAAAGTGTTAGAGGATATAGTTATTCTTTAATCAAGATAATTTCCACATGGATACTTAGAACTAACTAAGCTTTGCTGATATACCGTTTGCAGATTAGGGTTATTAATGTAACAGTCAATTAAATTCCTTGCTGGGCTCACGCCCTACGTGTTCCTCCAGAATGTGTACCCTTTCAAACACTAGCAAATCATTATGTCTGAATAACAAAACATTTATCTCTCCAACTTCGCTTGATAGGCAATTGCGTTTCATTTTCTTGTTTAATTTTGTGCGAGACCTCAAGATATGGAAGGCGTGTTATGAAATAGTCTGCAGTCATACAATTCACGAGAACAATCGCGATTTTACCGGACAGAAATCGGTCAAACAAGCCACCGGTTACTACTGCACGACAAACTAAGCAGTTTATGAAGTAGTAACAGTCAACTCTCATTAGGTGTGAGTGATTGAGTGCACAAAGCTAATAGACATTGTCAGCACTAACGAGAGGGGTGTAACCTGCACGCATATGAGTGTTACAACTGTCGGCTGAAATTCAGACTACGAAAAGGATCTTGTCAAGTTAAAAGTAAACAGACTAGAAAAGGTAACTTGGGTTCCTGTAGTAATTGGCGGGCGGGACATGGCTCAAAGCCCATGCAGACGTGGTTCAGAGAGTAAAGGCCAAATGAAAACAACGCAGAAGACTATCAACACTCATGGCCAGACTAACGTTAATGTAGATACACACTAGCTAGCATCTACCATGATGTGTCGTAAGGGCAAACAGGCTAGGCTTAAACTGCTGCGAGCCAAGCGACAATCCCCTTATTAACTGCGCTCTGCAACCCGAAATGTCGCTTAGGTCCAAACAGATACAACTATCGTAAAAAACTAACCACTTAGTGGGAATTTTAGTCGGGCAAAACGTGACTGGATGGCAAGGGTCCAAATATTCACATTGAAAATGGAGTGAAGAATCAGAAGTCCTATGAAACACGAACTGCGGTGTTTACCCTTTGATGGGACGAAACCAAATACTACCGAGGCTTCGTTAAGTGTCAAAAAATATTGGCTACTACTACTTTTGACCAAGTCCCTTCCACTGATTGTATATGACAGGTTAAAACAACTAAAATCGTCTTTGTGTGTGTATAAAGAAAACCTACTGCATACAATCTTGGGAAGGCTTGCGATGGGCTGCTTCAGAAGTGCTATGAAATGATGATAAGGGTTGTTGAGGTGGTTTATCAGAACTACTCGAAGTTGATAAATCTTTGGCAGATGATAGGATCTTCGATCGTCTCGTGGGGATTGGAGGAGATTCAGGTTGATGTGCAACTTCGAACTCTGAATGATCAGCGTCTTGGGTGGGGTTCGGTGGTGGGGATCGGAGACGAGGCCGTGGATTTACTGCAGCTCGAAAACTGTGGTTTTGTGATCGAGCACGGGAGACGAGTGTGGGGGCTGGAGGCTCTAATGGCCCATGCTCATCGGCTAAAATGCCAAGAACTGTAAGTAAAGATGCCATTCTCTAAAAGGGTCATAAACCGCATAGTTTTTTTTATTTAAAAATAACGAACCAGAATAAGAATGATTTTCAACAACAACAGTTTTGACACGGCAACTTGTTCATGCTCCTCCAACGTGGAAAATGGGCTAGTATCGACTCGCTGAAAGTCCAAGGCTTAGTTGCTACAAAACTAGGGGATCGACTGGTCTAATTTCCCCATAGCACATATTTAGCCATTTAATCAAAAAAATTACGATTTTAAAAAAAAATTCATGACTGACTGGCATCCCACTATTATGCTAAGACCGTAACAAAGCATAAAGCCCTATTAATTTTAAGATTTCATGGCCCTTAATAATTAAGAGGAACAAAGTACACAGGGCTCGAATATGTCAAATTCACTGTTTTTCCATTCCGAGCATCAATGCAGACCCACTAAATCGACTGCAATTATGCTCTGAAGCACATGAAAATCCATTTCCTCTAGTAATTTTCCACTAGGTGCTCTGACAACTTGCATCAGCACTTGACGTCAGATGTACGTATTTGCCGATTGGCGGTAGCAGCTGGAAATTTGTCATATCTACGTCCCACACGAAAGTCAGAAATTTATTCTTGGTGTAGTACCCAAAACTAACCATAAAGAAATGTACTTTACCAAATAAGTTAAGCAGAACTCGAACAATTAATGATTAAAACACTTAACCAGCACGAGTTTTTAAATTTTAATGCTATACTACTTATTCATCTTTATCAGTGCACAGTTGGGCATTGCCGAGAGATATGGTCGACCATAGACAACTTTGATAAGAATAAAAAGGGAAGCACTACTGACGGCAGTGGGTAAAGACTTACAGAGGGTGCAGAGTTATGACAGCATGTGCCGCAAAACACCGCAGTTTAACTGTGTTAAGGAGCAACGGCCACGGTGGCTGCGAAAGCACCGTTAAATTGAGGACACATTAGGTTACACGAGTTGCAACAGATCACGGTTATGGAAAGAAGGCAATGCGGATTTACTGTAAGCTGGCAAACTCGCATCCACGGTACGACTAACTTCCCATGTCATTAAAATACAAATTAATTAGTACGAATTTCACATTTCGTACTGTAGGTAGAAATGAACTAAAATTTTCGCAAGTAGCGTCTATGATACAATTTATGTAAAACCAAGTGACAAAGCTCCAACTTCTTGCATAGCCATTGTCTTCAGTTGATTTTTCTCAATCGGACTACTTCAATAAATTAGTAGTTATATAAAGTACCTGATCATCTAGGAAGCTGACGCGGCAATACTGAGATATTCCTGCTTCTGAAACACTATTAGCATAATCATTTCTTGGGATTAGTTCCACATCATCTCAGCCACTATCGCCATGATACCAGCAACACCCGTCATACAGGTTGCACAAGTCAACCCACAAAAATTGACCCATATAATATTGTACCTATTTTTTTTCTTTAATAGATCAATACCAGTGAATAGAAATAAAACGCGTCGCCTATGTTAATTGTCAATAAAACGTTTAAGTATTGCATAAAAAAATCAGATTTACAGCAATAAGTGAAAAATCCATATGATTCGTTTTCACAGAATCCGCCAATATGCAGAGGCAGATTTCAAGAGGTCACACCTTGAGTTAATAATATGACTTCGAATTGATTCGCTCCCAATGATGGACAAAAGGAACAAGAGGGCTGTGTATTTAACCTGACTCCCTTTCATTACGAAATTCGCGCTAAAAATTTGTTTGCGAATTCCAAATATTCCGTTTCTGAAACAGTTGGCCATACTACTGCTGGTCTTTTGTTACTTGTGTCAACAGGGCTTAAATTTCGTTTTGCGGCAAAACAAACAAAAAGAGCTCGTACTATGAAATCCAGATCGAGAGCAACATAACCAAAAAACTTTCTATTTATTAGCCATGGACTTTTCAACTTTCGTTTGTGGGCTAGAAGTGAGTTGCTTCCAAAACGGTTTCGGCGATTTCGACAAGCACGCTTCATTTGCTTGGAAGGATCCCAAGTTGACACCACCAAGCAATCGCAAAAAGCAGCATAAAAGGACACACTCTCGCAGGTCTGGATTACGCCTTGGCTGCCAAGCCAGATCGACCACTGGTAAAGCAGAAGACTTAAACAACCAATGATTAAGAAGTGCACTTGTGGTTGACGCCCTCAACATTGGACTCATCAACATACGCGCACACGCAAACGCGCATTGTAAGTACTGCGGGCAGACTTTTATACGACAAGTTGCAAGTTGCCAGAAAGGACATAATCCACCGGCTTCAGTCACGATTCACGAGTGGAAAGGTGCAATCGTGGAATGGTTACGATAGAAACTGCAAACGTGCGTAAGTTCACCACAAGATGAGGAGGATGTAGGAGCATCAAGGGTATATTAGATTGGCAAGCGGATAAAATTGTAAGTGCTAAACTCGGTGTAGTCACTTACCTATGGGACAAAGAAAACAAGCTCTGTTAAAGCCGATGAAAGGGATCTGAGAAACGCAAGAAAATATGCGAAATTCAATATCCTTAACCTCTAGCTAATTCCTGAATATTTCAAAGTCAAGTAGGCTTCATCATTGTTGTATTTCATTTCCCTGTATCGAGCACCTCAACTGACAAATCTCACCACCTGGTAACCCAGAACCCAGAGTCAATCGATTGCTGGAACGGCCACTGTAGAAGCAGCGATTTATTTTATCCACTATGAATCGGCCCTATTTGCCAGTGCAACACGAATCAACGGAACAAGACCGCGAAAGACACTCCAAGAGCATTGCACATGTCCATACAATGCAAAAAAGAAAGGTGACTTTATGTCCCAACCAATGGAACGCCAAGCAGTAATGCATTCAGTTTCTATACGGCGTGTTTACCGCCACAATTGCTGAGCTAACGGTGCCAAGTGGTTGAGGTCGTGCGACATGCTAGTCGCATGTGCGTGCGTATGTGCTAGTCAACCAATGGAGAAATGGTACCACCATGAGTGCGTTTGCCTTAGTGCAGAGCATGAGTTTGGTGGAATTGTGGACCACACCGAGTTTTAGTATGCAGAACGGAGCAGTGCGCCGATTCAGATCTTCGCTTTGCTCAGGATTGGAAAGCACGGTATTTGGGCCAAACTCAAAAGTGGGAAGTCGAAAACAAAAAACGTCACTTAAAAAACCATCAATCAAAGCCAGAGTTTACCGGTGACTCTTCATTTGGTTTCGAGTAAATATCGGGTATGGAATAGATAAATCAAAAATCTAGACTAAAACCTTATAGACATCGGAAAAAGCGAATCGAACGACAAGTGTTTCGTCACTATAAAAAAAAACTACGGGTGTTCCATGTGTTGCAATGGTGATAAACCTTACTTATTTTTTGCTTTCATGGTTTCGAACGTTCTAAAGAGTTCAATGTCACAGATACAACATAAAAACGGTCCATTTCGTTAATATCAGTTGCTTTTTAACGGCTCATGTATGAAAGAACATTCAAAACCCTGTTGCACTCGCTCTTTGCGCATATGCCCTACCTTTGTAAGTGCGAACCCAATATATTGCATTATACGACTGAAGCTCAGACTCGGCCTAAGGGCTTGGTTGTGGAGGTATTTTTGGTTACCTCCGAATGACCAGTCTCGTGATTCCATGCTTATAAAGCCGATGTAATGCGTTCAATTCTAAGGGTCCATGGCCCATGTGAAACAAAAGTGACAATCAGTGCAAAGGTCGCATTTATTTTAAAAACTCGACCCCTAACAAAGAACCCACACGCCTTACTTTATGCATACACAACTATATGCCTCTGTTACCACTTCGAGCGCACGATGAGTAATGCTATGGTTCCTAATGAGGACATGAGCGGAATTGGCAGAGAGCATCAACGTGAGATGTAAAATTTTACGTAAATGTTCAAATGCAGAAGCTTCGTGGAAAAATCAGCACGTGATACTTTGACAGCATATTGGAAATAACACACCAGTAGATACCATTTACGATCCAAATTCTATTTATGGAGCCCCAATTAGGAGGTGAAGATATATAAAAATTAACTTTTTCAACAGAATCCCTGTCTGTAGATCCGGATAAACGAGCAAACGCCCACTCCGAGAAAACTCTTATCTTCTTGCAACGAAAGTGGAATTTTGAGTCTGTGAACCCAATAAGGTGTTTGGACGTACCGGCATCTGTTCGAAGGACATCATCGTCCCTTTGGTTTCGGAGGGGTGACGGTGAAGCGACATCTGGGGTTTCAGCTTCCATAGTCTCTGGCGGTTTCTCCAAGTCCTCTCTGTGGATTGGTTTGACCGGACCCGAGGCGCGACCCTGTCTAGATCGACGAAGTTGTCGAATTTTTCGTGATGCCGGCATTGTCGAGTAAAGACGAGCGCCTACACAGAAAGGCGAGAGGTTGTTACACTTTACCATAATCGTTGATTAAATAAATTATTCACTGTTGTACCAGTGGACGAATAAGAAGACGGTAAAAGGTAACAGCCGAAGTGTGGAAAAAATATCTCCAACCTATTTTGCCTTCTAAAACAAGAGCATCTCAAACCCATAAATTAAATTGCAGTCGGGCTCACACGAGACCTCATGACGTGTGCGTAATAATAGGGCATATTTCACGTGCTAACAGCATAGCGCAAAAGCATACCCTGGTCATCGCCTTTATTTCTTAGAGGCAGAACATTTTCATTGTAGTAGATGAAATTAGTAGCACTCATGTGAGCATGGCGTTTTTCTGAAACACTGCGCCGACCAATGGCGTCACGTGTGAAAGCCGACTGGCAACGGACAGGGGAAACAGAAGAGGACCTGCTCTCTTTTTCGCGTCTGGAACGACCCCGGGAGTCCACGGAGGGAGTCCGTGGTACTCGGTGCGGTGGATGCCCCACATCCATCTTTTTCGAAAGAGTCTCCCGGCCGGGGGTGCTGAAAAGAACTTTGGACAATTAGCCTCAAATAAAAACTATTGCTATCTTAAGACACCTTCACCAGTCAAGCTCATTTCAATATTTGCAGCTAGTCGAGCCCACAGAGTGACTACCAGGTTAAATTGAAAATGGCAGCGAAAAATGCGTGTAACTTAGGAAGTTTGATAGTGAAATGGTCTCTGGTGACTTCAGCCTGATCACTTCACACAAATGGCCACCCAATTTACTAAAAACCTAAGTAGACATGTAAAAAAAGGCATGAAAATGAAATCAAACTCAGTAACTCCACGCATATAATGGTTTAGCTTTAAGGTGTTAAAGAATTGATTTTTGAAAATTAATGCACGAGTCAGGGTTGAAGACAATTGCTCAAGTCCACGAACAAAAACGAATAGGGCATTCTGTGGGAACTGATAACCGATTCTGTGCTAAGTTGCAACCAGAACGAAATATTACTGTAGTTTCGGGAGTTCATTGCTTTCGCAGTATCTTCAGTGAGAATTTGGGCAAAACTATGCTTGCGCACAGACGCAAGCCTCAAATCGAGTTTTTTGTGATAAATACTGTAGCATAAGTTTCCGCACGGACAAATCAAGGCAGTGTGAGGCCTCATCTAAGCCAAAAAGAAAAGCAATCCAGCATTCACCAACGACATTCTATTTAACCGTCGTGGAAAAAGTTATGACTTGACCGCCGAACCCTGAGTTCGAAAAGCACAAAAACTGCTCTGACTGTAAAATTTCACTAAGGCCTTTATTACCAACTGGACACAATGCAAAAGAAATCATCATCCAATGTATAATTGTTCATTAGCCTGAATACCAGAAAGTATTGAGTAGCAAACTATCTTTAAATGAGTTTTACGTCATAGACTATCAAATCGCACATAACCAAATACACCCTAACAAATTCATATACTACATGTTATTACGAGAAACAAATGACTTTACGTATTTTGAGAATGTTGGTGATCACGACTCGAATCTTCTGCCTGATGCAAGATAGGTTTGGATCCAGAACATGAGTCACGGATCGCACCAGATTTTTCGGAGCGATGGTAAAACCGATCCACTGTTAATTGGAGAAAGACCTGTTTGTTTTTTTGGACAGTTCTGACTTGGGCTTTTTCGACCGCTTCCTTGAGGATACTTTTAATTTCCTGCAATAGAAAGCATCTTTATTAAAGTTGCCGACGGGAGAAGAGCTGATGCCAAAAAACCCAGCTTACATTCAGCGAAAGACCGATAACACAACGGTTGTTGACCTCAACCAGCCGATCGCCCGGCCTTACAGTGCCCGAGGCGGAGGTGGTATCGGCGGGGCTGTCAGTCAATACCTGTTTGACAAACAGCCCCGGGTAATCCCCCTTATCGTCGAACAACTCTTCTTTGGGTTCATTCGATTTACTGTGGACAGGAGGGTGGATTACATGAGGTTTCGTCCACATCTCAAAGCGAATCCCCAAGCCAGAAATCCCGGAGTCGGGATGCGGCACAGGAATCTCAAAAACCATTCTTCGGCGGACTGGCTAAAATTTAAAAATAATAATTCAAATGTTATTGTTCTGCACGAAATTAATATAGGAATTAGAGACCAGAAAGATGTTTGATTCACAAATGCCAAAGTGTACACGACAAAGTGTTCTAGACTAAGAAAAGTGCGGTCGTGAGAAGTAGAGGTGTAATTTATGAACTATGCGGCTATGCTAAAATGCTAAAATAGATGCTGACTTACTGGCCCCAATTCGGATTCAAGGCTGGGACTCGAGGCTTTTAAAAGTAGCCCGTCATTTAGGAAATCGACGGGACTGGCCGACGAACTCGAGCAGGGCGATGCGTGAGCAGGACCGACCATCGAATTCTGACGAGAGAAAATGAGACGCGCCTCTTCCCCAACCCCAATGGACCGAAGAGCCTTCATGGCTTCTTTGAATGTAGTCACTTTTAACCCATTGATCGAAAGAAGTCTGTCACCGAACTATGAATGAACAGGAAAACATGACCCCACGAGCAGTTAAGTGAATGGCATACATCTTCTGATAGGCTGAGTTAATTAATAATGATGAAACAGCCAAATATGAAGTGTCTTGCAAAGTGTCTTGAGTAAAAATACCAAGTAAAACGTAAAAACCGCCAAGTCTACTTTTGTAACAGGACTTGCCGTCAATCGCCAACATTAGTGGCTCATACATGACTGCCCATTTTTGCATTATTCGAAAGCTCGTAACCCGTTTTCTCTTGTAACACTGGGACACTCCACTGCCATTTCCTTTTCTGGCTGAAGTTCAACGAAATCTTTTTTAATAAATGTGAATTACCACTTCAGCCTTTGCAGATAGGACACGATAGGCCAATTTAGCGTGTTATTATGGCGTCATTTTGTATTTACAATCCGCGTAACAACTGTAAAAACTAGTAAATCGCAAAAGTAAGATAGCAATAAGCATATAAAGTTACTCTAGAAAACACCAACATTTGTAAAGTTGCACAAAAACCTACCTGAAGGCGGCCATCCTGGATTGCAGAACCAGTCGGCATGATTCTTTCAATGAAAACAGGCTGAATCTCATTAGTGTTAACCAGAGCGTCTCTAGTTGCAAAAGAAATTCCGAATCCTCCATCTGCCAGCTTGATGAGATCGACAGAAATCATTTGCCCGATTGCGCGGGTATTGAAAGCATTTAAATTCTATAAAAAAATTGCTGTCAATACGTTGCTGGGATATGTTTGATTGTGGGCGCTGTCATTTGAGAACAATGCACACCTCATGACCCCACAAAAGACACACGAAAACGCACAAAATTGCTATGATGTTTTACAGATAAATGTCACTGCTAAAATACGGATGTACGAACACCCCAAATGAAAGCGCAGTTAAGTGTACACGATGACAAAATAATGCGACCACGTTTAACCGTAATACCCTCACGTTCTTTGCCAAGTACTTTTAAGAATCGTTGACTATAGGTTTAGCGAAAGAGTAAATGTCAACATTTGTGAATTTGCTATTCAATGGTATTAATTCAAGCTAACCATCGTAGTTGCAAGCTGCATAGTAAAATAAGAAAGAAAATACAATGGGTTCGTAGTAGCCTCTCCAGAAACGTCAGGAAAAGACTTACTTTAATATTCGAGACGGGAGAAATTCTGGATTGATTGGGAGTTTGGCATGAATTGGGCGATTCCTTACCAACTATCAACAAAATTACGTAGGAGCAAGAACTGGTACAAGGATACAAATACCTTACAAAATGTGCTTACTTAGTTGAGGACTTGGCCTGGAAATTGTAGGAAAGGGATAAGGAAAGTCTTCTTCTTTAAGTAAACTGATTACGGTAATTTGTGGCTTTGAAAATGCTTCAATGAGAGCAGACGACAGGCTTAAAAAGAAACAAAAACCTACAACTCAACTGCCAAATTAACTTATTGCCAGAGACTAGTAGAAAGATCTTACTTATCTCTGGATTCTCCAAAGAAATCCTCATCATTAACCCGTACGATTACATCATTGTGGTGAAAAGGGAATTCAGACCAAGGCGATTGATCAACGTTTGCTATTCGTAAGCCCCAAAAGCGTCTAAATAAATTGGAGTAATTATAAACCACATATTTAGGACCAGTTTTAAAAAACTTTCCGTGCTTACCCAATGACCTTATCAAGGACTGGTTGAAGACGGCATCCTGCCTGTTCTACTTCCAGTGGACCCTTGAAAGTAACTAATCTTGCTCTTTTGAGCAAACTCTTATCGTATTCCAGGGGCAAATCGTCCTTGGCAATCGTAAACATTCCACTCTGTTGAGACCATGTTGTTGAAGATTTCGTCTCTGTGTTGAACTCTGCTCGTTCTGCTGCATCGAACCATGCATGACTAGTTGCACCAAGCGAACAACGAGCCGCAGACGCCCGAGAGAACGGAGTTGAAAATGTTGTCTTTTTCTTCTTAGACGATCTTAAGTCTCGCGGTCTAGTGATTGAACTTTTCGGTATCAAAACATTATCGCCCAGTTGTTCACCTTGAGAATCCTAGAGTAAAAACATTTAAACAGGTGAATAGAAACATTTCTGTCATGTCTACAGATGCACATTGCAAGAATTTATACGTAAGCTTAAACCTCCAGACAGAAAAATTGTTGCCACAGATTCGAATCCAAATGCAGGACAGTATATCAGCACTTAAAAGCGTTCCCCAACGTTAACAATACCTTACCGAATTTGTAAAGCATGGACACCATAAGTTATATTGAAATGACAATAAGAATGCCTTTAAGTAGCAATCAATGAAAGTTTAGCATACCTTAGTCGAGTCAGATAAAGCCAATATACAAGGGATAACATTAAGAGAGTAGTTGCAGTTTACACGGAACATGCGAAGCCGTGTATACTTTCACGTATGTACACCCTCATCGTTTCGAACGTACTTGGCACATAGGTAAGCTCAAGAATTTGTAAGCGTGCATATTAAAACTTAGGTTTTCTAACTTCTAGTGAGGTTAAAAAGCCATGCAAGTTTTTAATTATTTACAACTCTGTTTTACAGTATAGAATTTCAACAGATTCCTTGATTATGCACCTTCCCTTTGAAATAATTCAACAAGTTAAAATATGATAGTCGACAATCTAATTAGTGAATAAAGGATTCAAGTGGCATGTTATAAGATTGATCTCCGTTTATGCTCCTTTATTGGGATATTTGATATCGGACTTATTATTAGATGAAACAAGGGATCGCACATCACCCAACATATCTACGTGCTTTTATGCAAAGAACCGCTACACAATTATTTTGGATTGCAAGCCTTGTATGTGCATTCCAATTGTCAAAACGTAAATATCACCAAGATTAGAATAAAATTTAATTGACATTTTACATTGTACTTAAACATGGTACTAGAAGACAAAACCAAGAAACTAAATGAATACGTCGAAGATTTGTCAATACTAACAAAGTGAACTCAAAATTTTACGAAAATGTAAAAGGCATATGTACCATTGGTAATGCGACTGCAGCTGGTACGAACTGAGCATTAATACTCACCAAAACCGCTACATCCATTATAATTTATCACCTTTTTAACACTAAAGTGAAATTTATCCGATTCTGTAACCATGTAGGACCAGAAGTAAGCATGTTTCAACATTTATCTACAGAAAGTTTAATTGGAAGAAAAAGTAAGCGCAACGGCGCCATAAAATAAATTATCCAGTGAAAACGACAGAGCAGAATAAAAGTGTTGCACTTCGCAAATTTTGCGGGATAGCTCTTACGTGCGCTTCAAAACAACCGTCCCAAATAAGAATGCAAAAAGGTTTTGCTTCAAAGGAAACAAACAGGGTCCAATTTACATGTCAAATAAAAAATTTAGTAAAAACGAAACTTTAACGGATAGCATAAAAACTAATAGCTCTATAAGTTAACAGTATAATTTCGCCGAAATCAGAAGAATAGTAAATCCTAGAAAAGTATATAATTAGCCTACAGCATCAAAAATAGTTTCCGAAAAATACAGTCAAGATATAACCTTACCATATATCAACTAAGAGGCTGTTTTTGGCATCAGGACAAGAGGTTAAATATGGAGGCAGCGATAAAGCCAATGTAAGCTTCTCGAAATCCGCGGGGCGTCATGAAATAATTTAAGGAAATGATTCATTATATATTTCAATGACGTGTATATTTCAATAGTTCAACATAGCATTATTTCCTATATCTAAATTTCTAAATAATTAAATAAATTATTCCCGATTCTTCTATTGCGAGTAGAATTTTACTGTTGGAAACTAAAATCGATAATGCTAATCCGAAATCCAGATTAATAATGAGCCAATAACTATTCAGAATTAAGTCAGATTAGTCAATCCAAACTAATTGCAAAATGATAAATCGTTGGACGAAAATATTTCTTCACAAAATATTCAACTACCATGCGGAAAATACTACACATTTCGTGTGACTTAAAACATAATACAATCAAAAGAACTTCTTCTAAAAAAAGAAAAACGCAATGTTGCAGAACTAAAGTAACGTTCAAAACATGTTCAACCAAATGACCTATGCACAAGTTCAAACCAGATGATTATGCAACATATACAATCATTAAACCTCCAATTTAGTTCCAGTGATTAGCAGTCAAATGGGTGGCTGGTGAATGCAAATCTTCTGCTAACATTTACCTAACATCTAATCTTGACTGGCAAGCGG